GCCCGGAGCAGCCGCTGGGCCCGGGGGTAAATGCAGGGTGAACGCGCCCGACTCAGGGCCAGGCTCCTGGGCAGCGTCTCCCTGGGCCCCGGCGCACGGGGCCCCGCAGACCTGGGCGCACAGGCCCGTCCACAGGTCGATGCAGCTGAACTTCCCGGAGTCATTATGTCATAACGGTGATTAAACTCTATTTCTAGGGCATGTCTGTGAAGTGCTAGAGTTCATACATATTTTCAGTTTGAACATGGACAATTAAACACTTCCTAATCCTAGCGGCTGGTTACAGAATTGTAAAAGTAAACAGCACTGCAAGAAGCAAACGAAAGGCCTTTCAGTCCGTTCATTAGAATTCTCAAGGCAGAGCCGCCCGGTGGCTCCCCAGGCCCGGCCTGTGTGGAGGGAGGGGCTGGGGGGCCGATGGACCGGCCTCTCCCCCAAGCTCTCTCTCTGCACCTGAGCGGCCAGCAGTGTAAGGAGAGGTCGATGCCTCTCGAAGTCACATCTAAAACATTCAAGCCCGACAGCATAAAGTAGCCAAAATAACTCTGTAATTTTATAAAGCTAAGTTACATGTAGGTATATAATTTCATAAAGCTGAGGTTACATTCAGGTATCCGCCTTCCGGAGCCGGCGAAGCCCCGGAAAGCACCCAGCCCGCAGTTCCTCTGCCCTCTGCGTACAACAGCGCCCCACTCAGCACCTTCAGCAGCAAAAGGACCCATTTTCTGGGAGGCTCCCATCACCGGGGTCACCTTGTGCCCTATTTTGGGGGTGAAATGCAAGTGATGAGTGGGGTTTTTATTTATTTTTATTTTTTTAAAGATGAGTAGAAACCAAAGAAAAACATTTAAAAACACAGGTTTAAGACGGATTTGTAGATTAGCCCAACGCCCTGACTTGTCTGCACTTTAGTAAATGTCAGGCAAGTTCGAGTAGTTTCTGTCCCAGTAGCTGCCGGAGTAGAGCCAGTCCTGGGCCCCGTTGTGGGGGTTGGGGCCTTGATGGAACCACCTGTGGAGAGACAGGCCAAGGTTTAGGGGCCTGGCAGCCCCAGGACCTCCCAGGACCTCCCTGAGCAGCCGTTCACAGGAAGGTGTGAGGTAAGGGCTTGCAGATTCCCCACAGCACTTAGCCAAGTTGCTTAGCAGAATTAGGATCTCCTGTCTCGAAGGGTTGTTAGAACCAATGTTTTTGTCTAATTGTTCATCCTCTAGGCCCACTACCTTCCACTAGAAGTCCTTCTTTTAAAAGCAATTGGAAATTAGGAGTTATTTTCTTCGTATATATTGTAACCGGACAATCGATGGGTCCGCGCTGCCTGTCACTACTTGAGCCAATTCAGCAGAGACAGGGTGGAATCCTATATGAGCATTTACCCCAAAACTGCTGGCAGCTGGGAGAGCCGCAGGTCACCCACAAAAGTCTGCTCTGTCCCCCACCATCAGCCAGCTGCTTGTATTGGACAGAAGGGCAGAGATTACATGGGGAAATAGGCAAAGGGACTCCACTAGAAGACCTTCTTTTAAAAGCAATTAGAAATAGGGAATTGGGATAAAATGAACTCTCACGACTTAACTGCAGTAATGTTTTTGCACAGTTCAGAGTAAATGCCCCCTCCCCCCCCCAAAAAAAAACCCTTAAAGCTCCATTGTACAAAAGAGCTGGATGTTGGAGGCGATGAATAACTCGTCCAAGCTAATAGCTGATATCAAAGTTGAGTTTGATTTTAAAGACCGTGGTTTTTCAAACATATCACACTACACGTAGTTCACTGGAGGGTATCTCACCCACATCTCCCTGGGTGTCCGCCTTCTCCATGCTGACATGGACGGGGGCTGCATACCAGCCTCTAGCATCCTAACCTGTCTTCTAATCTGCTCTAGTCATTGTCCTGCCCTTTAAAGACCCGTGGCCCCTTTCCCAGGGCCCCAGAGTGCAGGCCTACTTGCCCAGAGGTTCAGCTGAGTGCAACGTCTTCTAAGATTTCGTTTTCAGAGTAACACTTAGGAACATTGTCTTAACTGCCTTTGCCATTCTCTCCAAATAAATCGCTTCTAATAATATTTATCAATTAAATATTTAGAGATTAAAAGTGAGGTGAGCCCAGCTGGTGTGGCTCAATGGTTAAGTAACAATCTATGAACCAGGTCAGGGCACATGCCGGGATTGTCAGATTGATCCCCAGTGCGGGACGTGGAGGCAGCCGATCAGTGATTCTCATCATTGATGTTTCTCTCTCCCTCTCCCTTCCTCTCTGAAATCAATAAAAATATGTGTTTTTTTAAAAAGTGAGGTTTGATTTGTTTGCTAAGTCCCAAATGTTCCTATTACTACAGAAGCATTAAAAACCCTGAGAAAAACCACTTGAGGCCAGGTCAGCTCCTTGAAGGATCATTTAGTAAATGCCCATTAGACCGAGTGTTCTAGAATAAGATCACATACATTATTTAGCTCTGCGGGCTTTTCCCTAATTAGAAAATGGAAAAGCCTCCTGTAGACGATCAAAATATCTATCATTCAGACTTTGGTAACCAACTAGATATACATTAAGGGCCCGTGACTTGGTCAGTCACAGAACTGTTGCCTAGTGTGAAGCACAGTTATGCTCTTTGGGTCTCAAAACCGGAGCAGCAGCAGCAGCAGCAGCACTTGTAGTCGGGCCTGCAGAGCCGACAACAGAGAAGCTGGCAGGTCCGAGTCAGGGAGAGACAAGGAACTTCAAACACCCACCGGCCGGCCGCCACGTTCTCCCATACGGAGCGTATGGAGCGGGGAGGAGGAAGTTGGCAGGAGACATTTCGCAAAGTGGTGGGCTCGGTAGCAAAGGATGTTTTCTCTAAAGACCATGTCAGGCCTGCAGGCCTCCAGGCCGCTTGTTGGGGGGGTGGGGGGGGAGGCCCTGACTCTGCACTGGAGAGGGGACGTGGACTTGGACCTTGGGGTGGATGGTCTGATGCAAAGGGCACGCCCAGTCCCTCGTGTCTGGAAGAGGAGAGACCTGTCTACGGTCCCTGACACCGGCACAGGGGAGCAGGCGGCTGAGATGTGTGCAGGCCGGCGCCTGCGAGGCTTCCCTCCCTCCCTGGGCCCTGCTGGGAGGCTCCTCTTAACTGGCATTTTCCTGGCCTGACTGTGGGCACATTGACACTTCAACTTCCAAACAGCCCTTCTCTTGGCAGCGCGAGGGCTTGGTGCAGAGAACCCCTCTCAGGCCCAGGAGCAGCCTGGGGGGCCCACCTGAGCCTGCTCTGCCGTTTCCCAGGGCCCACACCCTGCGCCCGCAGGGCAGCCAAGACCCCCATGGCAGACCCCGCCCCCGCCGCAGCCCCGCCCCGCCGTAGCCCCGCCCCCGCCGCAGTCCCGCCCCCGCCGTAGCCCCGCCCCCAGCCCAGCTCCCAGGTCCCAGGCACCTGGTCCTCCAGTCCTCCTCGGACCTGGACCTGTTCTTGCGCGCGGCTCTCTGCTTCTCCTCCAGGCGTTTCTTCTCTTCACTGGCGAGATCTGAAACGGACACGGACGGGACCGCTTACGGGGCAGCGAGAAGCGCATCCCGGGGTGAGCACGAGCTCCCGCTTCAGACGCACCCCCAGCCGCCGTCGGTGAACCTGGGACCCTGGGACCTGTGCCCAGGTCGGCGGAGGCGCAGCCGGGCCTGAGCACAGCGCCTTCCCCCAGGAGGAACCGCTGGGCTGAGGCCACCGGAGTGACGTCGCCTCGTGAGAAGCTGGGCGGAGAGACGCCACACGCGGACTTTTCTACATTCTCACTGAGACCTCGGAGCGCCTCCACTCCTTCCTGGCGGATCCCAAGGACTCTCAGAAACACTGTGCGCCGCGGCCCCCAACTCAGCAGGGAGTTCAGTGAGAACACGCCTCCCGCGGGCACTGCGGACAGACTGGCCACGTGCGTCCCTGGGGGCGCTGCCCTGCCCACACTCACTGCCCCAGCCTCTGCCCACCAGCCAGGAGCGCCCGCTGTGACAGCCAGGCCCCAGGCCCCTGGGAAATGCCCCCTCGGAGACCCCATGACCAGGAGGAAATGCAAGGCCGGGAGATAGAAAAGTTGTCATTAGCCAAAGGGCGCAAAGCTCTTTGAGGCTTAGCAGGCGGTATTTAATTCTAAAATAGACAGCAAAATAGTCAGGGGCTCTTTAAAGCCATAGAAATGTTTTCAGCTCCCTCTCTGGCGTTTAAGAACAGGCTGCTGGTTGCCAGGTGGGAGGGGTGGGGCTGGGAGGGGTGGGGCTGGGGGAAAGGTGAAGGGATGAAAATGGGCACATTGGCAGCTGCAGAATCCTCACAGGGATGTGAGCAGGCACAGGAGCAGTCAGTGATGCTGTAACCACTGCGCGTGTCGGGGGGGGGGGGGGTACTAGCCTCACAGGGGATCACTAAGTCACACAAACGTCTTACCACCATGCTGCACCTGAAGCCAACAGCGTGGTGAACGCCAGTGTGACTGAAGAAGGAAGGACGACACGGCCTCGGTTATACAGTGTATGCAATTACCAGGGGCACTGGCCGGACCATGGAGCTAGTACAGTCTACCTCAGCTTTCCAAACTTAAAACAAAGTTACCAAATTTAAATCACATTTTAATTTAAAAATGTCTAAGAAGCATGTCTCTAAGGGCTGGTTGTCCTCGTGGGCCCCTCCGAGTGTGGGCGAGAGCAAGGAAGACTGACAGCCGGGGGGTGGGGGGGGCCTGCCGCTCTGCCTTTCCTTTCCTAGGACGTAACAAACACCCGAGAGACTAAAGTGCGTGTCCTCCAAGGGCGCTAGCAACCGCCAGGAACAGACCCGACCATCACCCACAGGAACCACGCTCCCGCGGCACCGCCCGCCAGTACCGATTTCCCCGTTCTCCATGGCCCTGATGTCGGGCCGCAGCCGGCAGTCCGTCTTGGGGATCACGCTCTCCATGTCCTTGTCGATTTCGTTCAGCACCATGGCGAAGCTGGTGAAGTTGTACATCTGCAAGAAGCAGGTGCCGCGTGAGCAGGTGCCAGGACACCGGCACCAGGGGACCCGCAGATGGCGGAGCGCGTCTCATCTGACGGGGACCCGCCTGTCAGGCAAGGACCGTGCCCGTCTGCACTCGGCCCGAAGGCACCTGGAAGCAGGCCTCACCGAGTGGACACCCCGTGTCGCCGCCACGCTAGGTAGAACTATCAGCACCGTCAACGTTCTCTCTACGTTCGTCATGGAAATCACTCCCTGCTGGACCGCAAGAGGCTGCGTCCACTTCACTGAATGAAGCCAGTGTCACTCCTAAGGAATCACCAGCCCCCGTCCCAACACCTCTGCCCGGGCCAGGCACGGGGATGCCCGCACAAAGTCCTGGCTCTCAGGGTCAGGGTGAGCGGGAACTGCACCCCGAGCCCACACGAGGGACACCGGGGCCTGTCGGGACCCCTCCCCCCCGCATCCCGCCAGCAGGGCCTGCACACTCGGGAAGAGCAGCCTCGGGCTGAACGTGGACAGCGAGGCCGTGTCCGCAAGCGCAGCCTCACCTGCGCGGAGTTGGGGGGCCGGGGGGCGATCCGCCACAGGAGGACACTCCCAGGGATGACACACACGCTCTCAGAATCGGGCATCGGCATCTCGTCCGACTCCTCTGACGCGCTCACCTGGAGGACCCAGCAGATGAGCGGCATCAGAACATTTTAAAGAATAACTTGCAAATTGGAAAACGCACCGTTTATGCACTGCACCCCCAGGACGGGCCCTGCCTGGCCGGCCCGACTCTCCTCCTCAGCTCCTGCCTGGCCCTCGGCCTCGGGCATCGGTAAAGCCACAGCCATCAAGCCAGGAGGCTCAGGAACTTGGTGTCTGCAGCCTCAGTGGCGTCTGCATTCAAGGCTTTACTATCACCACCACTTCCATGCTCGTGTTTTCATGTTTTTAAAGTTTTGTGTGTTTTTTAAGGCAGAATAACTCAGTTGAGTATTTACTGGAACATGATGAGAACTTCATGCGAAGGTTATATTCCTGGGGCAGTTAACGAAATGATCACTGACACAAAAGCAGCAGACACCCCGAGAGCATGTGACCAAAAAAGAATCCTGGCGATTAACACGTTTTAAAAAGAATCCTGGAGACAAGCATCTGTTCGTTAAAAAGGTTCATTTATACGTGGATTAAAACAAGACTCAAGGAGAAAATTATATGCGTGAGCAGGATCGAAACAAGGTCAGATTGAGACCTAGGAACAGGCCGCCCCCAAGGGATGAAGACGTGCCCCCCTCCCCCATACCACCTTCCAGGAGGCTCACCTGTTTGCTGTGCTTCTTCTCTTCAGTGTTTTTCTTATCGTTTTTTTTGAAGGCGTCGAACGTGGCAGGATCGACACTATACAGACATTCAGTCCATTTCCCATAGAGGGCACACAGCTTCTTTTTGCTGCCGAGAGAGAGTAAGACTCAGCCAGCAATCAAACCAGAGCTCACCTATCCCTGACTGTTATTATAAAGAAGCTTATTATCACACTAGAGGCCCGGTGCACGAAATTCATGCACTGGGGGGGGGGGCGGTCTCTCAGCCCGGACTGTGCCCTCTCGCAGTCCGGGAGCCCTCAGGGGATGTCCGACTGCCTGCTTAGGCCCACTTCGGAGAGAGGGCCTAAGCCGGCAGGTGGACATCCTTAGCACTGCCACAGAAGCGGGATAGGCTCTAGCCACCGCCACTGCGCTTGTCAGCCATGAGCCTGGCTTCTGGCTGAGAGGCGCTCTCCCTGGAGCACACTGACCACCAGGGGACAGCTCCTGCATTGAGCGTCTGTCCTCTGGTGGTCAGTGCACGTCATAGCAAATGGTTGTTCTGCAATTCTGTCGATTTGCATATTAGCCTTTTATTACATAGGATTCTTTAAAGAAACAGATTGCCTGTAAGAAAGGTCTTTCAATGTATTGAAATGCTTCTTTCTGAGGTGAAGGCAGCAGATTTCAATACTATTTAGCAAACTACACCTATACTATTCAAGCATTTTAAATGGACACTTTACCTTTTATCTTGAATGTAGCCTTCGACTTTGTGTAATTCCTTCCCAAAAAGGCCACATGGCTTGAAATTCAACACACATTTGTCCCCGGTCCTACGAAGGAGACACGGAGCCCAGGTTACCACTCAGCACGGCAGAGGCAGGAGAGAATGAGGACTATGGTGACGTTCCCAGCAGCACTGCCACCGGGCCCACGACAAGGACAAGTGAAGCACGGCCCTAAAGAGTAAGTGGCTTGTTGCTATGGAATGAATATCTGTGTGTCTCCAAGTCCATATGTTAAAGCCCTAGCCCCCGACGAGATGGAGTTTGGAGGTTATTAGGTCACGAGGGTGGAGCCCTTGCGAAGAGGGTTAGTGTCCTCAGAAGAGACAGGAGAGATGCGCGCACACTCTCTCTCTGCCAGGTGAAGACATACAGCATGGCCACCTGCAAACCAGAAGAGGCCTTCCCAGATATCACCTCTGCCCCTTCATCTGGGAGGTGCCGCCCCCCGCGCCGTGGGAAGTGAAGTCCCACTGTTACGGGCCAAGCTCGCACGACGCTTGCCTAAGGTCACAAAGGAGGCTTTGAACCCACTCTTCCTAACTGTTATATCCCCAGCCCCACCCTCTGCGCGAATTATACAAACTCAACAACGTAAGCACAGCGAGCGGCTGTATTAAGATGCACCGAGGCCGGGGCAGCTCAATCGTCACCGAGTTCACACTCATGAGAAACAGCAATGAGCTCTGTTCATCGGATGAATGGACGTCTCCTCTAACAGTGAGAGTGCTTGTTTGCGTTTATCTAGAGCTTTTCTTACGAAGCCACTGAGAGCGATGGTGACAGGGAAGGGGACTCACTTGTGGTTGGTGATCTCCATGTTGCCGTACTGCTCGATCCAGAGCTTCCCCACGATGATGTTGTGCACACAGCAGGTCGGGTTTGTCCACGTATACGCCTCATTGTGTCTAAAAAACAAAAGTAAAGCCAAACCCAGAAACATAGGCAGGAAGTGCTGTTTTGTTTAAAACGCGCATTTGTCTCAAATGCCACTGCTGAGGACAGCCACTCCGAGCTCTGGGGAGCGGGCTCCGGGGTGTTGGCTCCAGCAAAGCAGGGTCGTCTGACCACTTTGTTTCTTAAAAGGACGCAAAAGCTTCAGGAAAAAACTGCCCTGTAACCGCCACCAAACTCCAAACACGCGATGTGTATCACCATCCAAGGCATCCAAGAGTTAGGTGAGAACATATTAAAAAAATAAAATTAGAGGCAGAAAATAAAATGAAGGCCTATTATTTGGCACTTTCCAGAGCACATACCCTCAGCTCATCAAAGGGAAAAGGTCACGTGTGTGAATAAGCTCCACTGTTTTTAATCCTCACCTGAGGATACGTTTATTGATTTGAGAGAAAGAGGAAGGGGAGTGATGGGGGGTGGGGGGGGAGAGAGACACTGATGTGAGAGAGAAACACTGACCGGTTGCCTCCCGCACACGCCCTGAACAGGGATGGAACCTACGACCTCGGTATGTTCCCTGTCCGACGGCCAGGGCGACAGCTCCAGCGGAACATATGCCCAGGGCACCCTAGCAGTGGGGTGATGTCCTAATAACCTCTGAGATTAGCTTCTCAGTGTGTATGATGCATTTTGAATTCTGTGTGTGAATTTCTTATTTCTGAGTAGTGTTCCATTCACTCACTGAAAGAGATCTGGGCTGCTTCCAGTTTTGGTGACGGTGAATAGAATACTGTACATATCTGTGTGCTGGTTTATGTGAAAAGAGGAGTCTTCGTGTCTCTAGAGCAGGGGGCCATTTGGACATTTATACCGTCCAGGTCTTTCCTCGCCAGCAGGAAGGACAGGCCCATGTGGGCGGAGTCTGTCTTCCCTGGAACTGAAAGTCAGGTCTTTTCTACGGGAAAGCAGGGAACTTCCCGCTGACCAGATGTCTGCGATGGCCACATGCTGTCTCAGCGATCAAGAGCAAATCCAGTTTGAAAGACGGTTAAACGAAGCGTTAGCACGAGATCTATAGAAAGCGTGTTTCCTAAGAACCACCACAAAGCGGCCAACTGCTTGCTAACTCACAACAGATCCAAACAACAAGCTAACTTTTCAAACACACACAGACCGATCGATCGGCAATGGCCATTACCACGCCTCTCAGTTCTTCTACCTGCAGGTAGGTTGTGTATACTCGCGCGTGATGCGTATACTCGTGTGTGAGTGAGGCGTATACTCGTGTGAATATATATACTCCTGCGTGATGCGTATACTCGCGTGTGATGCGTATACTCGTGTGAATATATATACTCCTGCGTGATGCGTATACTCGTGTGTGATGCGTATACTCCCGCCTGATGCGTATACTCGTGTGAATATATACTCCTGTGTGATGCGTATACTCCTGTGTGATGCGTATACTCGTGTGAATATATATACTCGTGTGATGCGTATACTCGTGTGTGATGCGTATACTCCTGCATGATGCGTATGCTCATGTGAATATATACTCCTGTGTGATGCGTATTCTCCTGTGTGATGCGTATACTCGCGCGTGATATATATACTCCTGCGTGATGCGTATACTCGCATGTGATGCGTATACTCCTGTGTGATGCGTATACTCGAGCGTGATGCGTATACTCGTGTGAATATATACTCCTGTGTGATGCGTATACTCCTGTGTGATGCGTATACTCCTGTGTGATGCGTATACTCGTGTGTGATGTGTATACTCGTGTGAATATATATACTCCTGCGTGATGCGTATACTCGTGTGTGATGTGTATACTTGTGTGTGATGCGTATACTCGTGTGTGATGCGTATACTCGCGCCTGATGCGTATACTCGTGTGAATATATACTCCTGTGTGATGCGTATACTCCTGTGTGATGCGTATACTCGCGCGATATATATACTCCTGCGTGATGCGTATACTCGCATGTGATGCGTATACTCGTGTGTGATGCGTATACTCGAGCGTGATGCGTATACTCGTGTGAATATATACTCCTGTGTGATGCGTATACTCCTGTGTGATACGTATACTCGCGCGTGATATATATACTCCTGCGTGATGCGTATACTCGCGTGTGATGCGTATACTCGCGTGTGATGCGTATACTCGTGTGAATATATATACTCCTGC